CCTGTTTTGATAAAGTTATCTCTGACTGACTTGCTTCGTCGTTGTCGGTTGGTACATTGCATCCCATTTCTCTGTGACAATTTCATTCAAAACGTATGGATACATCAAATACAATAATGTTTATGCAAGTATTAGTTAGTTTTATTAATTTCAATCATTTAGTTCGTGTATATTTAAAGATCTAATCATAGAAAAATTTATTACGATATTATGGCGTTTATAACTTCGAAATTTACGAAAATATTTCAACTTTACGATGTCGTAAACATCAAAGAAAACATATTTTACATAAATACCATCCATACACATCACCAAATCTGTAATTAATTTATTTCTCGTTACAATCTTGCGACGAAAAATCTAAAAAAAGAAAATTCCAAAAATAAGGAGTACCTTGAACACTTCATTAACAGCACCTGGTTTGAAATTTTAATTAAATCCCACCTCAACTCTCCGTGCGAACTCATTAACCGTATTTATGATGGTCCCAATTTAAAGAACGATATAACGTCCTTCTTTTTGTCAAATTTAACTAAATTATAACGCCTTTCAGATCGATCCGCATTAATAAATAAATTTTAAGATTTCGAATTAAGCGATTTATTGATTTCGCCGGAGTAATTACGATGGTTTCTGAAATTAAATTGGATATTGAATGGTTGTGAATTATAAACATGGATTCTCTTTTACGCTCGATTAATTAACTCATTTTCTGGTATGAACCTTTCAGCTTTAAGCTTTAAACGGTGACAAAAGCACCACTCTCATCCGCAATATCGACCCGCTTGGTTGATAATTCCCATTGTCGGACGCGTTTTATCCTCTCAACCGAACAATTAGATAAAACTTTGATAATTAAGTACTTTGTTTCATAGTTTCAAGAAAATGGTTACTATGTTTTAAATTTTGTGTAAAAATAACAATATAGATAAAAATTGCAGTAAAATTTCGAAATAATGGGTTAATACGGGGAAAGAAGTGTCCGTTATAGCCAAAAGTCCGTTAAAAAACAAAATTCTAGTGCCTACTTAATTACCTATTGCTTCCAGAATGCTGAATACTGTTGGAAAATACTACTATCTACTTGGAGAGGCAAGATATTGCTTCCAAAAGATTAATAACTGTCCGGAAATAGGAGATATCCTTTTGAAAAGGTTACCTACTGATTTCAGAATGCTAGATACTGCTGGAAAAAGACTTCTAACAGGTTGGAAGAAAGAGACACTGTTTCCTAAAAACTACTTGCTGCTTCTAGAACCCTTAATACTGCTGGAAAAGACTACTATCGACTTGGCAAGGCGAGATATTGCTTTCAAAAGACTAACAACTGCCTGAAAATAGAAGATATCTTTTTGAAAAGGCTACATACTGCTTTTAGAATGCTAGATACTGCTGGAAAAAGACTTCTAACTGGTTGGAAGAAAGAGATATTATTTCCCAAAGACTACTTGCTGCTTCCAGAACGCTTAATACTGCTGGAAAAGATAATTGAAGACCTAGCAGCAACAACGAGGCAGCTCCACTTTTTGTCAAAAATGACTTAAATACACTGTTTCATCTAATAAAACAGTTGGGGTAACAACGAGGCACCAACGGAATAGAATTCTGATAGGGCAATTTTAATCGGAGCTGCCTCCACCTTTAAATTATGGCAACAACAAGGCAGCTCCTGAGTTACACTTGAAGACATACAAACTTGCAATATACCTTGAATATTAAGCTGTTGTCTCTTACGATTTCTTTTTGCCTCTCTTTTGGTCACCCTAGAAGTGACACGTGTCAAACTTTTGATAGATTAGAAAATAAGATTACAAATAGAATCTGAAAAAAAGTTGCACCTCAATAAATGCCAAGTTTTTGTGATGATTTAAAAATTAAGCAAACTTTGGCAAGAAATGATCCTACAGTTGACACACTTTCGTTTGATTTTCAATAGAATGCTCCACTGCCTAGAGTCCCTATTAGTATCATAAAGCTTAATGTAACAGGACCACAAGTATTTTGTCTCTTGTTTGTTATTTATATTCATTGGTCCGATATGGCAGAATCAAAAAAAATAGTTCATCGTTTTCTTGAGGCTGGCCACAATTTTCTGCCTTGTGAACGATCTTTTAGAAAAAATACATGAGAAAAATAGAGCGTGAAAAATGATCTCCCTCATTACAAGAAATCTTCAAAAATTTGCTGATTCTTAAGCATTTCCAAATAGCCAGAACTAATGGACACATCCCTTTAAAATGATTTACTATTCTACAGATCTTTAAAATCTGATAATGTAGTAGAAAATCATGATGACATTGATCACGATGACGCAAATGAATAGCTGACATTCATCTAACATCTATAAAATACTAATAAAGTAGTTTTCTTGTAAATTGATAGTAACAACGAGGTAGCTCCAATACACAATTATGTATAAACAAATTTTTGAAAGTTTAATTTTGCTAAAAATGATTATAATCAGTGTGAAACTTTGATTATACCTAATAGAAAAAAAAACGAATTGCAAGAGACTTAGGGTATTGTTACGGAAAAGTTTTTCGTGCCTCCAGAACAAGAAATATTGCTTCCAAAAGACTAACAACTCCCAGAAAATAGAAGATATCCTTTTGAAAAGGCTACCTACTGTTTTCAGAATGCTAGATACTGCTGAAAAAAGACTTCTAACTGTTTGGAAGAAAGAGATACTGTTTCCCAAAGACTACTTGCTGCTTGTAAAACTACTGAAAAAGACTGCTACAAGGATTTTGTTGTAAGCGATGTTTTTTTCTTGAATAACTTGAAAACAACTCAATATTCTATTTGAATTCGATCATTTTATTGAAATTTGGACTTGTACAATTTGTTTAGACACTTTCTGAAGGTCATATCTGGTTTTCATCACTTTTGCGAGCGTTTCTGGCGTAATTTCGGCGATTTCCTGGCCTTAAATTGCTGGAAAGTGAATGGCTTCTTGACATAAACCTCTTATGGTATTCCCATAGGAAAAAATCAAAAGGCCAGTTGTAATCGTGATTCCAATCGTGATTTAGAAACATAGTACGCAGCAAATCTATTGTTAATCGAGCAGTATGGTATCTTGTATCATCTTGCTGGAACCAGAAGTCTTCCATATCATTTTCTTCGAGTTCAGTTGATGACACTCTTAAATATCGGCATTTATATCGGCTTAACTTTGGGTTAATTTCTTAATTTAAGCTTAATTTCGCCACCAAACTTCGAATTGTCTTGGCTGTGGCCATTGAACGATTTTGCTCTGTACGCACGTTGAGCAAGCGTAACACAGGAACTTTTTTGGAAATAAAAATTCATAATTTCTGCACGTTCTTGAGGTGTGTAGCAAGCCATGCTTAAAATTGTACTGAAATAACGTTTCCAACGCGCCTCAAACAAGGCAATTTGACAACTGGTTGTCAAGTTATTCAAAAGAATCATCAATTACAACAAAATGGTACATCCTGTATTTACGTGGGAAGGCAAGATAGTGCTTCCAAAAGACTAATAACTGCCTGGAAATATGAGATACTTTTTCCTAAAGGCTACGTACTGCTTCCAGAATGCTAGATACTGCTGGAACAAGACTTTTAACTGTATGGAAGAAGAAGATATTGTTTCCCAAAGACTACTTACTGCTTCCAAAATGCTAAATACTGTTGGAAAAGACTACTATTTACTTGGGAAGGCTAAATATTGCTTCCAAAACACTAATAACTGCCTGGAAATAGAAGATATCTTTTCTTAAAGGCTACCTACTGCTTCCAGAATGGTAGATAGTGCTGGAAAAAGATTTCTAACTCTATGGAAGAAGAAGATACTGTTTCCCAAAGACTATTTACTGCTTCCAGAATGCTAAATACTGCTGGAAAAGACTACTATTTACTTGGGAAGGCGAGATATTGCTTCCAAAAGACTAATAACTGCCTGGAAATAGGAGATATCTTTTCTAAAACGCTACCTACTACTTCCAGAATGCCAAATACTGCTGGAAAAAGAGTTCTAACTGCATGGAAGAAGTAGATACTGTTTCCCAAATACTACTTAGTGCTTCCAGAATGCTAAATACTGCTGGAAAACACTACTGTTTACTTGAGAAGGCAAGATATTGCTTCGAAAAGACTAATAACTGCCTGGAAATAAAAGATATCCTTTCTAAAACGCTGCCTACTGCTTCCAGAATACTAAATACTGCTAGAAAAAGACTTCTAACTGTATGGAAGAAGAAGAATTTGTTTCCCAAAGACTACTTACTGCTTCCAGAATGCTAAATACTGCTGGAAAACAGTACTATTTACTTGGGAAGGCGAGAAATTGCTTTCAAAAGACTAATAACTACCTGGAAATAGGAGATGTCCTTTCTAAAAGGCTAAATTGCTTGCAGAATGATAAATACTGCAGAAAAAGATTACGATACTGCTGGCTAAAGACTACTTACTACTTACACAACAAATATTTCTACTAAAAAACAACTTTTTGCTTGTTTCTAAGTGGGCAGACGATTTTGAAGTCGCCAAAGCATCCAAATCTAAATGATTATGAAATGGCAGATGAGCAACTACAGACAAGTTATGCGTTATTATTTTCAAACGATAAATAGCCACCAAGTTCGTGAAGATCAAAAATAAAAGGCTGTTATGGCCTAAACGATGATTTTTTTAAATTTCTTATAAAATATCGCTGCTAGCTAAATCATCGTTTAGGCCATAACAGCCTTTTATTTTTGATTATACTTGTATACGATGTATCTGGAACATATGTACCTTAGCTAAACTTCTTGAAGATTGAAAAGAGAAAATTTTAGTAATTAGTGGCAGTATTAGCTCTAACAAACTATCTAGTGCGTGATCTAGTCTAGATATAGAATTGCAAATTTTATCGATGTGGAAACCAATTTTAATTTTTTCTATATTATTTTTAGAGCTTCCTTGTTCTATTTTTATTTTTTCTATTGATTACAAGACTTCTATCTCTAACAGGATTTAATTTGTCGTTGTCTGTTTTAGTTGGAAATTGATTTTAACATCGTCTACAACAGCTGGAACAATTGTGGTGGTCATCGTAAGTGGCGTAAGTGGTAAAAAAACGGTGTTCGCGACAAACTGGCCCACCAATTTTGGATATCGTACCCGCCGCCGGGGGCGGGAGGATCGACCAGCTCCAAGGATAAGGAGAAGGACAAACAGGCGCAGATCGAGGACGAAAAACGGGGACCTGCAAGTCGGGAACAAAGACAGCTCGACTACGACGCCGCCGTGAAGGTAAGAAATAGAGTTTGTAAAGAAAGTAAAAAAAAAGGGAAAAATTCAAGAAGGATGAAACTCCTTTAAACCTTTTTAAACCGAACCCATTCGTACTTTTTCATCTTTGAAGTCTTGTATTTTCACCGCTCGATGGAGCTTCCACTCGTTTCTATTTCCACCTGTTAAGTAGTACCTATTGAGTTAGTCCTTCATGGTTCATTCTTCTTTTTTTAATGGTTGAATTTTATTACAAACAAAAAAAACTTTATTTAATACAATATATTAATACAAATCATCGATTATAATATTTCCATTAATTAAATTTATATTTAAACAACTCTTCTCAACACTAAATCACTCGGATCGTAAGTAAAAATTGGATCGGAAATCGGCGCAACATCTTTGTACATAATCTCAGCTTTATAAGCCATATTTTTTAAATCATTTTTTGTCGCATAAACAACTTTTTGTAATAACCCATTTGGATGATAAATATAATACACACCGCTTTCGTTGATGGCTACTTCATCTTTTTGTGTTAGTTTCGAGGGTGGTGTGTCTCCTCGAAAATCATCCAAGATAACTTCCGGGTCAACACTAAAATACTCAGCCGTTGAATTTGGTGGTCCATAAACGGGTTTTGGAGCTTCCAATCTTAAACTTAACACGGGTTTTTGTTGATGAAATCTTCTCGGCGGCACCGTTTCAGTTAATACGATACTTAACGTTAAGGTGATCGCAAAAATTAACTTCATTTTGGAAGTTGATTTGATAAGAACGTAAACTTGATTGATGCTTCGATTAATTTTGCGAGTTTATATATGCAGTTTTCGATTTGTATAAGGAGGTTTGTTCCAAAATGGGACGTTAACGACCTCAATTTTTCGTTTTCTTCGGCGAATTTATTAACAATACACGTAATATTACATTATTATTATTCGTTTAATAATTTTTAATAAACTTGTGGTGTTGAATTTTTAATTAACTTATTTTATATGGTATTTCGGAGAATCCGTATGTTGAATCTGCACATTTTCCGGTGATTTATTACGTTACACAAGAGATTTGTTCAGTGGAACGTTTCGAAATGCAATTCCAATTTAGATTAGGGTTTTAAAACCATTCCCAATTTACTTTCTTCATGTTAGATTTATAAACTTGTATTTTTAGGTTAGTGATTTATTAATCAAGATTTATGATGTTATCTTTTTGTCTCATATTTTAGACGAAACCATTACAATTATTTGTTGTTCCAAAAATTGGTTACACCACGAAAGGAAGCGATAAGTAATGATTATAAATATTTTCATTTGATTGGTGGCCCATTTTCCTTTTTTTTTTTTTTGAAGAAACTTTCATCGTGAATGCAAACGTAAAACAAGCGTCGGATGCAAGTTCAATGAAATAACGTCGTAAATCTGCTATAAATATCGCGATTTTACGACCGACTAGTGAACAAAACGACCGCGAGCCGGGAAATTGCGAAAATATGCATCTCATAAAGTCACCTCGTTTCTATTCGGTTGACGTCAAATCAACAAAATTCAAAAAATTTATTTCAAAAAACTAAAAATAACAAATAAATTTGTAATAAAATACTTTTATTACGTGATACTTCAATTAATATTTTAATATTAAATCGTTATGTTTATCGAAATAACTTTTGGTGTAATAAATACACATTAAAATTGCTATAAAATAAAATATACGGATAGTAATAAACCTATTATTTAGTACTACACCATTCACAGGAATTAGTATCTCTTTTAGGTGTTGAACACTGCAGATAATAATCAAGTTCAACCCCAATAGGACTTTTTTCATTGAATACAACTTTATTTATATCAGGTTTGCCATTAGCAACCTCATTGTAACAATCCCAATACGATATATAAAATATCTTGTTGGAGTTTCGTCTAGTTTTCTTCTCTTTGCTTATAATTCATCATCACATTCATTACTAACAGAACTGTCGCTGTTATCACTTTCGATTATTAATTAAAGTATCCTCTTTTTAATGCAAAAAGCCGTTTTGAAAAATCACTTTCAGTTCTTGAGAAATAAATTTTTGAAATGATCGACAATTTTTTCGAATTTTGCAATTTTCGCCGATTAAGTTTTAAAAATTCGTATAAAATCCATTTCTTGGAATATGAGTATGAAAATTTCCCAAAGTGTTAATAAAAGTGTCCTCTTTCCAATGAACCAACCCGTTTTGAAAAATAACTTTTAGTTTTTGAGAAAACAATATTTGAAGTTTTGATAAAATTTTCGATGTTGCAATTTTCATCGATAATTTTCAAAATTCGCTATAAAATTAATTTCTTGAAGGATCGTTATGGAAATATCACCAATTATTAATTAAAGTATCCTCTTTTTAATGCCACTAGCCCTTTTGAAAAATCGCTTTTAGTTTTTGAGAAATAAATTTTTGAAATGATCGACAATTTATTGAAATTTTGCAATTTTCGCCGATTAAGTTTTAAAAATTCGTATAAAATCCATTTCTTGGAATATAAGTATGAAAATTTCCCAAATTGTTAATAAAAGTGTCCTCTTTCTAATGAACCAACACGTTTTGAAAAATAACTTTTAGTTTTTGAGAAAACAATATTTGAAGTTTTGATAAAATTTTCGATGTTACAATTTTTATCGATAGCTTTCAAAATTCGCTATAAAATTCATTTCTTAAAGAATCCTTGTGGAAATATCACCAATTATTAATTAAAGTATCCTCTTTTTAATGCAACAGCCGTTTTAAAAAATCGCTTTTAGTTTTTGAGAAATAAATTTTTGAAATGATCGACAATTTTTCGAAATTTTGCAATTTTCGCCAATTAAGTTTTAAAAATTCGTATAAAATCCATTTCTTGGAATATAAGTATGAAAATTTCCCAAATTGTTAATAAAAGTGTCCTCTTTCTAATGAACCAACACGTTTTGAAAAATAACTTTTAGTTTTTGAGAAAACAATATTTGAAGTTTTGGTAAAATTTTCGATGTTGCAATTTTCATCGATAGCTTTCAAAATTCGCTATAAAATTCTTTTCTTAAAGGATCCTTGTGGAAATATCACCAATTATTAATTAAAGTATCCTCCTTTTAATGCAAAAAACCGTTTTGAAAAATCACTTTCAGTTGTTGAAAAATACATTTTTGAAATAATCGAAAATTTTTTCGAATTTTGCAATTTTCGAGGATTAAGTTTTAAAAATTCGTATAAAATCCATTTCTTGGAATATAAGTATGAAAATTTCCCAAAGTGTTAATAAAAGTGTCCTCTTTCCAATGAACCAACCCGTTTTGAAAAATAACTTTTAGTTTTTGAGAAAACAATATTTGAAGTTTTGATAAAATTTTCGATGTTGCAATTTTCATCGATAATTTTCAAAATTCGCTATAAAATTAATTTCTTGAAGGATCCTTGTGGAAATATCACCAATTATTAATTAAAGTATCCTCTTTTTAGAGTTGCTTCTTTCGTTAAATCAGCATCAAAAAAGTTCATTTTGTATCTTGGATCCAAATAAGTTGGCATATCTTATCAGCTTTCTTATTAATTTCATTTTTACTCAAATATTGCAATAATGTGGAAATGCAGCAGAAGTTATAACCATAATGGCCGGATAGATATGCGGATAACAGGATATCCGGCTGAAGGGGATGCCGAATATCCGGTATCCGGCTTTTCGCAAAATCACAGAATTGGAGTCAAGTTGTAGATTGAGTTTTAAAGCAGATCCTACAAACAGCTACTTTTATTATAAGTTGATGTTGATAACTCACTGATGACCAACTTTAAATTCATATTATAATTGCATTTCATCAAATTATTTATCATACAGCATTTAACAGTTAGTCGCAAACTAAATGATAACAGTAATTATAAGCCGTTAGAAGCAGGATAAACATTCAGATACAAAGTTTCAATCAAACTGTGTGATTGGAAATGGTACTCTATTCCGAACCCACTTAATATTTAATATTCGATCGATACCTAAAACCTGATTGCCCTCGATATAAGGTTGATTGTAGAAAATATAGAAAAGCACTTTATAGTGATTTTTACAAAAAATGGTTTATCAAGGTATTTATTACTAGCACAGATCTCTAAACAAGAGGTGTTGATTGTTGTTGGATGGATGACGATTATTTCCGAAGCAATTTTCTGCATGGAATCATAATCCAAGCTCAAAATTGCATCATCACTTCAGGAGTTTTTTTTATGTATAAAAAAATGGCTTTCTTAGCTTGTTTTGAAGTTACGTGTGAGGCACATAATATTATTTAGCTATATTCTAGCTGTTTTATCATATAGGACTATCCTTACCTTTCAAAATGCGAATGTATGTATAGGTACATATACGTTGGGCGTCCAAGTTGGACGTCGCGCCTTTATTTCCTTATGTAGATAGAATAAATGCGCGACGTCCTGTCTGGAACACACACCGAATTGGGCAAAACCCTCCTCCCCGCATGGTTTATTACTGTTTCATTTTAATTTATAATTCGCTTAAAACGTTCTAAAAAAATGAAATAGACATAACTTTAAAAAATGGATAACGGAATCCGACACACGCAATTATTTGACATATTTTGGTTATAAACGAGTTAAAAGATTACAACAAACTTTACCGCATTTTTTTTCATCGACCGGTTGGGAAGATATTGATCTCTAAAGTGAAGGGCCTTGACTTTTAGCACGAATAGTGGTTTCATAGTGTCGTGCATAACAAAATTCATGAGAAAGTAAAACTCCAGTAAATTAAGCTCATAGAATGAATGAATGAACTTTTTAATGTGTCTATCATTGTCTTTCTTTAAACTCTTTGACG